ACTTATATAACCACACAAACTTGTAGCCTATTTTGAGCCCATTTGCATTTAGCAGCCCATTCACAACTAGTTTTATAATATTTTTATTTTCAAATAGATAGATACTTGTCTTCCATTCCTTCAAAGGACTTTCCTGGATCCGCCACCAATTATTATCAATAAAACTATCATACGTCTTTTTACCACTGAGTAAATTCAAAATTTCTCTGGGCGTTATTCATTGGTATAATTTTGGGGTAAGTGGGATAATTTTTAGGACTTTATTTTATGGTGTTATTCATTGGGACAATGAGATTGAGATTTCACTTTAAAGTGTTTTCATTTGGACAATGAGATTGGAACAATTAACCCCACTTTTCTCAAAATTCTCCCACTTCTTTACATATTTTTTGTCCCAACCTCTAAAAATTAACTTATCTTTAACTTTGGGACAATTATAAAAAAAGTGCGATAATTTTGAAGCACTAATTAATTAAATATCTAATAAATGTTAATTGTATTATAATATATAATATGTCTTAATTATATTATATTATAAAATTTTATTATAACGTAAGAGAATAAAATATTATATAATATTATCTAATATAACATAATTATAAATTAATATTACATATTGGTTAATATTATTTCATATATTATAATATTAGTATTATATTATTATAATATTACTTTATATTATTTAATATATATTTTATTAGTTAGAATAAAAATAATATTGTAGTATTTTTATGATATAAAATATTGTATTATAATATAGTGTTTATATATTTAATATAATAATATATTAATTATATTATAATATAATTTATTATATAATAATTTACTATTTTTATTTATACTTTATTATATTAATTAATAGTCTTAAATATATTATCAATATTATGGTAGTTATAATATTAAATAATATTTTATTACTACAATAAAAATTATAATAAATTACTATATATTAAAGTATGATAATATATATAAAATTAATATAATATATTATATTATTACTTAATATATTATATTATATTAATTAATAACATTAAATACAGTTATAATTAATTATTAATTATAATATAATATAATATATTTTTAGTATAAAGTAAAATAATATATTATATTATAATAACATACCAAATAATATACTAAACCAATTAGGTAAATTAATTTAGACTTAATTGATAGATAAATATTATACTTTAATAAGGTGTCACATTATCAATTATCCCACATGTATTGTCAAATCAAAGCTTCAAATTGTCCTATTATCCTATATTGTCCCACTTTACACCACTCAAAATATCCCAAAAGGATAAAATTATTCCATTGGAACAATTATCTCACTTAGCCCCAACTTATCCCAACCAATAACCCCCTAAAACAAGTAATTCAGAATGCTCAACACATGCCATAGTACTTTATACCTTTCATTCTATGGCATAAATACTAACAAGGGTTAATTGTAGATACACCCCCTTAGCATAGTTTAGAACTTAATGCTCCTTTGATTTTATTGTTGTAGATTGACCCACAGAATTAAATCTTTTTCAGTCTTTTACCCTGTAGGAAAGAGAAAATTGTTTTCTAACGAATAGACCCCTAGAGGTTAGAAGATCAAGTCAAAAATATTGACTCTGTTGGGGATTCGAAACAATCAAATCGAACCCTTGTCCTTGCGGACCTTGTGTTTGAGAGTAGGAAAGTAGGGAAATTCACATCAAATAAAAGATAAAAAACTTGCAGGAAAGTAAACAAAAAAGAACACACCAGATTTAATGAGGTTCGATAATCGTGCCTACGTCCTCGAGAGCCACACCACACAATTCTTTGATTAATATTGAAGAATATTACAATGCCCACAAATAGGATCTAATCTCTCTGAGATCTCTCTGAAGAATTCTCTCAAAACTCTCTTTTTCTGATGTCTAATCTCTTCTAAGGCGTTCCATATATATAGAAAACCTAAAACCAAAACAGACTAGGAATTCTAAAACCAAAAAATAAAACAGATTAGGAATCCTAATAACCTGTTATCAAAACAGATTAAGAATTCTGTTACCAAAACAGATTAAGAATCTTGTTACCAAATCAGATTAGGAAACCTGCTATCCAATAATTTGTTTGATTCTGGCTTTGAGTCTACATCCCTTAGAACGACTCCAACCAGGGGGCTGCATTTTGCAGCCCCTAGTGAAGCATATTCAAGAAAATATGCTTTTTTGGAGTTTCTTCACTCCAACCATCATCTCTATATCTAACTCTATCTATTTCAATATATTCATATATCAATTTAATAAACACTTGAGTTGTTTTTTTAAATATATAAAAATAATAAAAAAATAAAAGTTATATAATATAAATAATATTATTAAATGTATTAATATAAAATAGGCATTCAGACTAAAATAAACAGACATTGATATACTAAATCCACGACCATTACATAGAAAATAAAAGCACGAATTGAAAATTACATGACAAATAAGAAAAACATAATACATGAAAACTACTAAAAGTCTGGAAAGTCAACTCCTCCGTATCCACCTCCTCTGTAGTCAGGTATTCCGTATTGACTTCCTACGTAGCCGTATTTAGGATTAGGGGTATCAGATGAGAAACCCCTGGTTATATTTCTATTTAAAAACTATTGTTGTTTAATTCGAAAATATTCGCATTTTGTTGGATCGGTAATAGCATCTAGATCAACTAGCAAAATTTCTTTCTCTTGTCGTTCTTGCTGAAGATCTAACTTTTTCTTATCATTTTCAGCCTTTAACATCATAGTCTGGTTCATCGTCATTCTTTCATTTTCTCGTTGTTCTTGACCTCTTTTTAAAATTTCTAAAATTTCTTGGTTTCCTTTAGCAAAAGCTCCAAAGTTAAGGTTTTTTCAATTTCTTGTTGTCTTCTCAACTTCTCTTTCTTCCTTCTAATAGGTCGACTAGTTGAAATGTTGATTGGCGAATGGTCGTTGTTATTAGGAGTATATCCCTCATTATCTTCATTTAAGTCGATGACAGAAGAGCTTGAATCAAATCCTTGAGATAATGGAGACTTTGAAGTTTTGGAAGTTGTAGGAGACATGACGCTTATATTTGCCTATTTCTCTGAATCCTTCAAAATCGGCCAAACATGATCAAATAGAAATCCTCTTTTCTCTTCTGGATCTTCTGCAAATATGGTCCTAGCCCGTTTATTCTACCACAAAAGAAGAAATAAGAATTAATAAAATGAGAAAAATAATTCAATAATCAAGAAACATGTAATTCATATACTTACAATATCAAGTTCAGAAGCACCGCTTGGATTGATTGCATTCGGCATGAGAGAGACATCGGACTCCTATGTCCAGTGCAAACGTTGGAAATCCTTTCGTGAAATAGAGCTGAAATTCCCTCCCATAGCTTGTCTTTCTTTTGATTGGAACCTAAAACTAGATCCTGAGATATTTCAAGCCATGTAGCACATAAAATTTGATCTTCTTCTTGTAAGAATGATTTTTCGCGACTGGATGCCATAAAAGAAGGATGAAGAGTTGTTGAGAAGAGTTATGGAGGAGGAATGAGAAGACTTGTGATGGAGGAATGAGGGTTGTGCTAGTATTTATAGTAAAAAATTTATGGAGAATCCAATGTGGGAAAGAATCCAATGCCAGTGGGAGAATCCAATGTGGCTAGAAAATAATACGGGAAAGAATCCAAGGTGGGTAGAAAACCAATGCCAGTGGGAGAATCCAATGTTGGTAGAAAACAATGTGGGAAAGAATCCGATGTGGGTAGAAAACGATGCGGGAAAGAATCCAATGTGAGTAGAAAACCAACGTCAGTGGGAGAATCCAATGTGGGTAGAAAACGATGCGGGTGGGAGAATCCAATGTGGGTAGAAACATTATATAATGATACAGCATACAGCTATTAACAACTCATCACCAATCTTCTTTCATTTCTCCAAATCCCCTCTTCAACAATGAACTATGGAGCTCGACCATCACATCTACATTCTTCTTCTACTTCTTCTGATGACGAAACCTTTTCTCATTACGCTGAACAATGGGAGAAGGATATGAAACAATGGGAGAGACACACTTCGCACACTTCGCACATCCGACAATTCCTGGTCCGGCATAAGAAATTCAAAGACAGAAGCACACTTCGTACTTCGAAATGTATTAATTGAACATTTGTGGGAGAGACACTACAATGAAGTGATGTAACTTTTTTTATTAAAGTTTTGATGTAATTCTAAGTTAATGTGTTTTATTTCCATTTAATTTTCAATGTATTATCATTTCTAATTACTTGTTTTGTAATTTTATATTTCGATATTAGTCTTATTTTGAGGGTATCAACGAGACATTTCCAATGATATTATTTTTATTAAAAAATATTTAATATATTAATATATATATACAGATTTAAGTAAGTAAAAAAATAATGGGACGCAATTGGAATAATGAAATGTTGTTAAGGAGATTGAGGGTTAACGTTGTCATTTATTTTGGAACAGTAATATAGAGTTTGCTGCAAATTCGGAGAGAAATCTCCAAATTTGCAGCCACCCAAATTTGCCGCTCACCTCCAAATTTTGTCGCTCGGTTGGATCCCAGAGCGACTCCAAAATGCAGTTATAGCGGTCGGTTGGAGTCGTTCTTAGACTAACAGACTCAAGGGGTACTCCATCTGCAACTCTAAAACTGGAGAGATATATAGTTCATAACAACGGTAGTTTGTACGGGGGGGTCTCTCTGCAAGACTGCAATTAACCCTACTAATTATAAACATACACGGTAAGCTTATATGTGTTCAATTGTGAAACAATAGCTCTGAAGAACGGTAGTCATGAACATAAGAACTCTATATAATTAAAACACTTCATGTTTGCCTTCACTACTGAAGACCACACAATTCAATACTAGCCCTTGAGGCCGGTTTGGAGTTGCAGTCAATTTGGGCTTGACCCACATCATAAAAAACCTTCCAGATTAAATGTGGAAGGTTTCGAGCCTTTATATCTGCCGCAGAAATCTCAGGTTTAATAAAGGACCACATGTAATTTACATAAACACAAATCAGACATCTCAGAAAATAGACAAAAATGAGAAGCCCGTGTAGAATAAAGCCAGCAACAAATACAACAAGAGAAGAAATAAGAGCAACCCAGCGCCCTAATTTAAACCATTAAATAGAGAACTTGCACCAAACAGTCGCTGAAAACATATTGCACTTAAAAAGAAACTAGGACTACGCTCATCTAACACAGCTGAGACTAAACTTCAAAAACAACCAGAAAACACTTCAGCCTCGATCGTCTCCTATCCTGCTGCTCCTTTGCTGTTTACTTACACAACTGCTGAGGATGTTGTTTGCTGAAGACCTTAGCATTTATCAGTTCTCTTTGATTGTTGGGCCTCTGTATTTCGCCCCCAGGACGAAGAAGTCCTCGGCTTTCTCTCTCTCCTCCAGCCAAGTGTACTTCACATTTTCTCCGGGCGCCACATTTGTATCAACTGACGTAGCACAAAAATTGGAGTTAATATATATAAAATCGAAAAAGGAATTTAACTTCCGCCTAATACTTCAGAAAACCCCGCCTTTTAGGGGATATTTTTGCTAGTGAAAACTGTGATTCACGCTTTAAGGGGAGGGGCGTATTTTGATAAATGCTGAAAGTTGAAGGGGGTTCTCTGAGAAACACCCGAACTTAGGAGGGCCTTGCCGAAATTTACGCTAAAATAAATGTGCATTCATTAGCAGAGAAAAGATATCTGGGTTAGATGAAAGATCCATAAAATTCTCTTGATGAAGTTTGAACAAAATCCATTATCAAGGTTTTACATTATATTCCATAAGTTCTCCTGTCTATCTCCAACATTTTCCTTCAGTAAAGAAAGTTGTTCTTGCTCTTACCTTCTGATGCTTGTTTTCCAGAAAAGCACGAAACACTGTATGATTTCAGAAACTTGAAACCTTGGCATAAAATTGAACATAGTTTTGCGAATTTCCTATGAAATAATCTGGAGTAAAATAAAAAGGATTGCTTTTAGATATTAGTCCCTCATATCTTCAATGATTCCATATTTGTCCATCAGATCTTTGAAATTCACGCCTCCCTCAAATCCTAAAGGGGTCTTGCAATTTGGTACCAAAATACACCTTACGGTATTATTTTTTGTGAGCTGAGATATCAAAATTTGCAGGACCACTTAGGATTTAAGGGACTTACCAGCAATTTCAAAGATTTTGAGGGATTAACATGGAATTAGCGAATATTTGAGGATCTAATATGTGGATACCCAACTAAAAAAAAAAATCCTTGAAGAGGATTATGAAATGGGAGAGGAAGAGTTTATTTCTTGCTAATTTTACATGCATTTAAGCTATATATAACCAATTAAAGCAACTAAAGACAGAAGCATTACCATAAGGCAAATCATCGTAATAAGTGCAGCGCCTTCCATCAGGATCAGAGTAAGGTGGACCGAGCACATCGAGAACCGCACAAGGCGTCATCGCGGTGAAACAATGCATGTTTCCTCCATCATTCGGATAAAGAACCGAAGACTCACAGGGTGCAGTGAGGAGTTTATCGGTCTTTACCTCGGCCAAACCTGCCCCAATGAGTCAACTGTGAGCTCCGCTAGTAGAAATAATAGGGAAATTTTCAGAGTAACAGGCTCAACTTTATAAATTAGAGAAAACCCCTTCGAACATTCAATAGCATATAAAAACCTCTTAACCATAGGAAATTGTCATAAACTGCATTACTTTAACACTAGTAAAAGGCCTAGACTACCCTTACCAATATCTGTGACCCTGACCCAGAAAAGTCTCTCAATAAAAGTAAGGTTTTACCCTATTGGTCCCTTAAAGTCTTTAGTATTTTGAAATTAGTTCCTCGGATCATTGAATTCGCAACTGTCACTCTTGCCTTGAGAGATTAATTTGAAACAACTTATAAGAATCGGGGGGACCTAATAGCAATTCCAATGATGTGAGAGAATATTAAAGATTTGAGGGACTCCTCTTTCAAAAACCTCATTGACTCCCTCAATCTCTTAGATATCCCGCTCAGTGGTAGGAAATTCACGTGGTCAAACCAAAGATCCGTCCCAGTTCTAGCCAGATTAGACAGATTCTTCATATCCACGGATTTCGAATCCCAGTTTCCCCTCCTCATCCAAGTAGCTTTCCTTCCTCCTGTTCCGACCATTGTCCTATTGTTCTTGGCACGAGTGGGCCTCAATTATCGTCCATCTTCAGATTTGAAAAATCTTGGCTTCTATTCCCATCATTCTCCCCCTTCATCATCTCTTGTTGGAACTCATTCTCTACCGAGAGTGTCCTGCTGTTTGCGGTGAAATTTGATTTCTTCATTGCTGAATCTATTACACGTTTATCGATTACAGATTCAAAGTAAAATTAGTCTTTTTATAAGACTTTCTTACACAATGAAAAAAAATAAAAAAAATACAACTCTCTTCAAGCAAACGCAACGGGTGTTTATCGCCCACTGCTTGCGTGGGATCTTAGCCTGTGACGGGGATGTTGATATCCGTAGACCACCGTCAATCAGATCTGATTGCTGAAAAATCGGGCAGAGCTTCGTTGATTCGCGAAGGAATCAAGAAACCGTAGCGCTTATCTCGGCAACTGCGAGATAATTGCTCTTCTTAAGATTATCGCAACGGGATAATCTTAAGGAACGGACCCGGGGAACTGCAGATCTGACGAGCTCCTCTTTTTTATGCCGACGAACTCGATCCGATCTCTCCTCCTCCTCTCTGAAATTCGTGCACCTTCAGTCTTCAATCCGGCAGGGCTTCGCCAATGCTCCAAAATTCCAGATCTCCAAAAAAATGAGGGCCTGAGGCTGTATTTATAGGCTCAAGGGAGTTCGGGTGGTTGAAACTGCACAACGGCCGATTTTTAGGCCTGGAGACACCCCTGGGCGTCTCAGCGAGGCCGAGACACCCCTGGGCATCTCAGCGAGGCCGAGACACCCTTGGGTGTCACCCAAGACGAGACACCATGGGGTGTCTCGCTTGTGCCGAGACACCTCGGGGTGTCTCAACTCAGACTGAGACCCTTTTTTCGTACACTTGTCCGTTTCCGCCGTAATTTCTTCGTCCGAACTCAGATTTGAGTGATTCAAAGTGCGTTGAAAAGCCGACGAGGAGTTCTATAAGCTCTGTTGATTAGGTCATTGTGGATTAAGCTGGAATAGGAGCGTCGTTTTGTCTTTTGTAAGCGACACGGGACTCCCGATCAGTTCGTGTCTTCGTTATTCTGAAAACTCCGTTGCTTCACGTAGTTCGTCGATTCACTTTAAGCGTTCGTCGACGTTAATCAAGCTTCCGTGACTTGGATAGTGATGTTCATCGTCTTCTTTTAGCTTCGAGCTATTCGTGGAGGCCTATAGGTAATTTTTGACGCTTACAGATACCCCCTCCAAAGTGTTTCAGTCGCGTTTCTTTTATAGAAAAGTTTGGAATACTTTAGATGTTAGATGTGATTGGTCTAGCCTTCAGTCGGTGTGAAAGACCTGTAGTTAGCTTTGATTCTTGACTCCTTTGATTTTCAGTCTATTCGATGTTTTGACAAATAGCTGAAGTTCTTCTAACGCTGCATTTATCGTCTGGCCGTCGTCGAAGTCTTGAATCTAAAACAAATGAGTTGAGTTTGACTTGTGTCATTGAGTTGACTTAGAACTGACTACCTCCGTCGCATCGTGCTGACTTAGGGTTTCAGATTGTCGTACGTTGACTTTTTATCATAACGCGTTGACCGACGTTGACCTAGGGTTTCGGATCGCAACGAGTTGATTGGCGTTGACCTAGGGTTACGCGTTGACCGGCGTTGACCTAGGGTTTCGGATCGCAACGCGTTGACTGGCGTTGACCTAGGGTTATGCGTTGACCGGCGTTGACCTAGGGTTTTAGATCGCAACGCGTTGACTGGCGTTAACCTAGGGTTATGCGTTGACCGGCGTTGACCTTATAGTTTAGATCGACGTACATTGACTTTTGTCACAACACGTTGACCGACGTTGACCTAGGGTTACGCGTTGATCGGCGTTTGACCTTTGTCACAACGCGTTGACCGGCGTTGACCTAGGGTTACAGATCGTCTGACGTTGACACGGTTTAAGCTCTTAAGGTATTGGAGCATGGTGGTCATAAGTATCGAGGCTGCAGAACCAACTGTTAAAGTTGATTCATCTGCATGTGTGGATCTTATCTTAATGTTGTTGGATAATCGAGTCACGAGTCCAACTAACGGAGCTGATGCGTCAATGACTCGTATTTATAGAATTTTTGCCAAATCCTCAGTCATCAACGGGTTTGATGAGCCTTTACCGACTACCGTTTGAGTCGGGCTAGCATGCGGATTGTTTAAGTCCGTTCCGCATGTGACGTTAAGCTAAAAGAGTTAACCCTTTTAGTGCTATGATATTGAATACGTAGACTTCGTCTTTCTCCTGTGAAAAGACTAAACAGCGACGTGTATCAGACGTTGACTTAGGATTTTTTGGCAAATCCTCAGCCCTCAACAGATTTGACGTGCTCTTACCGATTATCGTTTGAATCGGGCTTACATGCGGATTGTTTTTAGTCCGTTCCACATGTGACGTTGTGCTAAAGGAATGAACTCCCTTAGACTTGATGCTACGATATTGAATACGTATACTTTGTCTTTGTCACGGGAATAGACTACCCGGCAACGCGTGTTAGGCGTTGACTTATCCTTACTTAGGATTCAGGATAAAAGTCCCCAGAATCGGATTCTGATGTCTTCTTTAATCGGTAAAAGACTAAACCGGCAACGTGTATTAGGCATTGGCTTATCCCTGCTTAGGCTTCGGGATAAAATTCCATGTGCGTGTGAAGCACGAATTTTGGCATTATTAATAACAACCTGCCATAATATTGAATATGTGGACTTTTGTCCTTTTTACGGTTAAGGACTAACCAGCAATGCGTGTTAGGCGCTAACTTATCCCTTCTTAGGCTTCGGGATAAATTTCCCCAGACTAGAATTCTGGTATCTTCTTCAATCAGTGAAAGACTAAACCGGCAACACATGTCAGGTGTTGACTTATCCCTGCTCAGGATTCGGGATAAAATTCCCCGTACCTGTGAGGCACGGATTTTAGGAGTTGAAAAAAGTGGTGTCTTCTCTTGGGGCAAAGACGAACCCGAAATGGGAGAGGAAGAATTTTATATTCTATCTCCCAACACTGAAGAGGAAGAATTTTATATTCTATCTCCAGTTGGAAAGGAGACTCGAGGTGGGATCTCCACCCCAGAATCCAGAAAGATAAAACTAAGAGTGTGATCTCCACTCCGAGAATCGAAAAGATTCGGATAACCCTGACTGTCGGATGGTTTGATTACCGAACTAAAGATGAATTTCTCGTTTATCGAGAGTGAATTGTGGTTTTGGTCCTAACTGTAGGAAGGTTTGACCAAGCGGGAGTTTGAGATGACCCTAACTGTAGGAAGGTTTGATCACTCGATTTGAAAATAGACCTCTCGTTCATTGGAGAAATCGAGAGAGAATTTTCGTTTTAACCCTAACTGTAGGAAGGTTTGACCAAGTGGGATGTTTGAGACGATCCTAACTGTAGGAAGGTTTGATCGCTCGATTTGTGGATCTCTCGTTCATTGGAGGAATCGAGAGGAGATTTTGGTTGTGGTCCTAACTGTAAGAAGGTTTGACCAGGTAAACAGTGGGAGTAGGAGTACAAATCATAGTAGGAGTGTTGACTTGTACAAATCACTCAGTAGGGGTTCTTAGTATCAAGTGATAAGGACTTAACACGAAGGGGTTTGACAATTCGTTAAAGATTGACAGATCAAAATTTCAAGCATTATGTCCGGAATTTAATAATGGGAATGTTGACTGCACAAACACATAGAAGTTTGAGTGGATTCAATCGAAAGGAATTTTGGTGGTCTCACCGTCAATTAGTCTAATCGGTGGGGGATTTTGTGGTGAAAGACTGTGAGTCGTCAAACACCAATGAGAGTTTTGTAAGGGATGATTGATCCAACGAAATGATCGAATCTTGTCTCAGCAAAAGAGTGTTCGGAAATCACGGTGGGTTTAGTGTTTATCACTTTATTTGTAATGATCGGGTTATCCCTAAGAAAATTACATGTAAAAATTCTTCCGGGAACTTCCCGTTACATGAATCATCCACCCCCAGCTTCCTTCGTGAAACTGGGTCTAACTTCATAGTGAGTTACATGACCAGGTTATCCTTAAGAATATTACATGTAAAAATTCTCTAGGAACTTCCCGTTAAGTGTGGAAAACAATTTAGACTCATATACCTATTGGAGTATCAGGGAGCAGTTTAACCTCATATACCGATTGGAGGATTGAGAAGCAGTTTATACTCGTATACTCTTCGGAGTATTGCCGTTCTCGTTTGGCTTATCCTAACGTTATGATGCCAGCTTCAACCAAGGTCTGGATGTTATTCTTTAAAGTAAAGCAAGCCTTGGTGGGATGAAGGATCCTCCTGTGATACGCGCAGTACTTTGGATCCGCAGAATTGTCAGCTTCCTCCTGATTCGTGATGGGTGGCAGCTTGATCTTGTTA